TTTGTTAAACGAACAATGGTCACTATACATAAATCCAAATGGGTGACAAAGTTTTAAAATTAATTTGAAAGGAATCGTCTAAATATCAGGCTTATATAAAATCACATACATTTACTTTTATTAGAATTATCATCAAATTACAACCAAATATAAGCAGTACAACTTCAGCTTACACTTTTCAAATTTATCATGACGTGATGATGTTTATTCACAAAATATTTGGGATTACGAAATTATAATTAATCTGGTTCAGTTAATAAATTGTATTTTCAAGTCTTGAAGTGTTAATGACATCTTACTTCAGCAAAATTTTGAAGCTTATAAGTAGACTTTTCATGCGATGATAATCCTCACGATATTCCCTTTTCAGGAAACATAATTATCTGTGCACTTACCTCTTGCTCGTGACATGGCCAAGATATAAATGTTCTGTATCGATTGAAAACTCTTTAATTTTATTTTTGAAAATCAAGGTGTAAGATCAACTAATTCTGCAATGCTATACTGCAGGCCATTCTTGGGAATATGTCGATAACACCATCTTCGTGTAATATCTTGAAAATAATATCCCATCCACCAATGGCTTTAAATCTAAATTCCTGTTTCCTTATTACAAGAGTATAAAGAATACCTACATCATTATCATCGATCATCTCATCAAAAACATTTAATTCATTAAATTTTTGTCAAAATCGGATTATATTAAGTTTTCATTAATCTTCTGCAGAACATGTACGATAATTTTTGGCTCATGTATTGTAGTGTCTTGGGTTTGTATAATTGCGAAACATTTTCTAAACGTTGATACAATGTGTCCTGCTCAATGATATGTTCTCGAATGGAATGACAATATTATCGACAAATCAGAGGTATTTCTCAAGTTCTTTGATAGACTTACAAGCTGTGTAGATGATTATTCGTCGCTAAAAAGTCTTGCTTGTCTAGGAGTCATCGGCGAAAACCTTACCTTCCTCTCAGATTATAAATTTGACTTTGAAACGGGTCACATGAGATCCAAAGTGACAAAGAAACATGGGACAGTTCTAACACTGCTTTAAGTCTCAAGTCTTTAATTTCGTACGCTTGCTCCCACCTGAACGTTTCCTTGATTATCGTGCAAAAAACACGTGAATTCTTTCCTTGAAATAAGCGTTATAAAGGGATATTAGGGCTCATTTTCCATACTTTTGATCCTCCCTGTTTTTAGCATCACACGCACTTAGATTTATTTGACACCTGATTGTCATTAAGATAGTCTCTTATTCTACGATAGTAGAATTCATAACCCAGGTTCATTCAATCATTCTCTATCGAGGGTATATAGATAGCTTTCAGAGGAATGGTTTGTTCCAACATTAATTCTGTAGCAACAGCAAAAACGTGCTAAACACCTGCTTTTTCTAGCGGCATATGTAGATGCTCTGGGGATTGTCATGACTTATACTGTGTACCCAATTTCACAGAAATAGCACTATTTTGTTTGTTCCTCACTTGACAAATGCTAGTTGTAGTATCTTGGTAGTAGTACAACAGTTTTTTACCGGCTCCAGGGGTCCATTGATCCACAAAGAACTTTCATTTGAATTTATCACGTCGTACTGTTGTTTAGTCAGTTGTCTAATTCCTAAAAAGTCCTTGTATATCTTGGGTGATGGGAATGACTTCGGGTTATTGCTCCTGAAGGTAAATCTTACTGAACGCAGTTTGCTCGCCAATATTTACTTTAACTTACCCATAAAACTACATTTGGGACTTATAACAAATCGTCGTGTCTGTACACATATCGCTTAATAATAAGTTCCTAACATCTTCAGTTTGAGTGCGAAACTCAGAGCAAAGGCTCATCCAGACTAGATTCACTTACATTGTCTTTCCACCAATCACTAAAATCTTCTAAATCTTCTTGAAACATTATTGACTCGAAAGTTTATCTCTGTTATCGAATTCTTCTTGGTTGCTCTTTCAAGTTGGGGTAAATGGTTAAACTGGGAACTGTTAACCGTTTACAAAATCTCTTATACAAATTGTACCATCTTGTTCTCTGGTCCAATGATTCTCGGAAAGTTTTGGCCAACGCTGCGAATGCTTGATTATTGTTCAACCAGTGTCTGATTGATTCCTGATATGGACCATATTTTCACTCATACTTACAAAGCAATTTGGGTGTACTAAAGTCGCACTCGCTTCTCGGTTAGTTGCCTCTCTCTTACACTCTGTACATTTTGTTTTAACAAGGGTTACATCTCCCAGATAATATGGAAATGAGTATATTCAAACCTATGAAGAACAATATATCTCCACCACTCAGTTTCTCCATAGCTCTGTTATACAATAACCTCAGCCTCGTAGTTGAGTTGCTGATTTCTTGTCGTTTTCAAAATACATACCGGGCTGATCTCCAGGGTAAAGGTTCCTATCATACTTGTGTTGGAGGAGCTCTGGTGTCACTAGATGGGATGTTTGCTCCAGTTGAACAGAAGGTTTTAATATCTCATTTCCTTTCTGCAGGTATTTCTCGTCACTGTGTTTCTTCCTGGTAATAGCAATCCTCACTGTAGTGCACATGTTAAGTTACTTTTAGTCACAATTAAACCTTGTCGTAAACCAAATGTAAAAATAAATACTGAGGCATGACCACTACTTGAAGCTTCACCATCAAGTATCAGTAAATAGAGTTTTAGGGAACTCTTTTTGATACAACCTGGTCGTAAAGGACTCCCGGATTTACCACTTGCCAAACACTGTCAATGTCTTAGGGGTCACCCATTATTGATAGGTACTAAATGGAACTAGGTCCCAAAGTGAAAAAGAAACGGGCAAATAAAAGGCCAACTTTAAAAATATCTTATTTACGTAGATCTTTATAAAACTACGATAAGTTATCACTAACTTTTCACGTAGCTAATCAAATAACACGAAGAAATATACCTCACGAAACACAAGAGTGGCACAAAGAGAAATGACAGAAAATGTAAACTCAGTAATTGAACTAGAGGATGCTGTTGCTTGACTGGTGTTGACAACATCAGACGAGATGCAGTACGGACAGTTAGCGCTGAACCGAGTGGATGAAAGAACCTTTTCGCGTAAAAAGGATGTGCTGAGTTAGAGTTTTAGCCAAAACTACATTTTTATATCCACATAACTTAACAACGTTAGATATTGAATTCGTCTCAATATAGCGACATTGAATCGCTAGGTAGCCGACATTGTCGCACATATATCGCTATTATATGTTGCTGTTACTCTATCGCAGTACAACCACACGTAAGAATTTTACCTCTCGAAAACACAGGAAGTGCACAAAGAGAAATGACGAAGTTACACTCACTCATTGTAACACGGCTCAGTCCGGTATAACTAATTCACATTCCAGTTTCAGGGGGGTGGGTGATGCAAGACAATTAATGTCAGTATTCCATAAAAACCCCAAACTGACATTGACATTAATGACATTATTGACATTAAGTTGAAATTAAATTTGTCTTGTAATTTGAGATTATCATTAATCGAAAAATATTCAAGATATTCACGTCTTTGCTTCTATGTAGTTAGATCGTTCAAAAAAAACAAACTGTCCTTGAATAATTATGAGTATGTTTTTATCTGTTGATCCTTTGTTCAAAAGAACCACCCAAAATAATTTCAGCTTCCAACTCTTCCATCTTCGGTACCCACGGCCACGAGGTGGTCCCCCTTTTTTAAAATTTTTAAAAAAAATTCGGGTTTCTTATACAGCGTAAAATATATAGAATCGGCTTTTTTTCGTAGAAGGAGTAATGTTAGCTGTTTAAGAATTCGTTATTCAAATATAAGTGCATGAAGGCATTTCGATTAATGTGGTTTTAAGTTCTGATGATGTTGAGAACCACGCCTTGGATGACAAGCCCATTAAGAAAAATTAAATTTCGGAAAACCCGTATATTATTTTAGTTTTATTGTTTAATGATCTGAATTTTATTCACATTTACATTTCCATTGTGATAGTAGTAGTGAATACTTGATGATATAAACGTTCTAATGTGCAAAAATATGGTAGAACTCCATAATCTATGGTCGAAAAATATCGTGTCAAATTTATGGTAGTATTCCAAAATTTTGCAAACTGACATTGACATTAATTGACATTAATTGACATTAATTGACCTTTAATTGGACAATAATTGATTAATTGGACATTTAATGACGTTGCAGCACCCCATTCAGACAAACCAGAGAACTACTTTCTAAGATCATGGTATTGCCAGTGCTCGTGAATTATCTTGGACGGTTTGAAAATTTACCGATGAAATACCGTGTTTAATCACAAGATATTTAAATCCCTCATTAATTAATTAATTTGGTTCAGTTAATACATTTTATTTTAAAGTGTGAAGTTGTTAATGATATCTTACTTCACAGAATCTTGAGCTATCCATGTAGACTACTCTTGCGATGATAATCCTCAGATATCACCTTTCTACAGGACAACATTTTATTGTGGCACTTATGGTTCCACGAGATGAGTACATTTTAAATTGTCAACAAATGTTATTAGAGTATTAGATTTAGTTAAATATGATTGAGTAATGAGTAGGGCATTGTAAGAAGTTATTTTTGATTTTCGCCATTGGTATTTGGGTGTGTTGTACCTCGTAATACATTGTCCATAGTTGTGGATACTGATGAAGAGGGGGGAGGAAGAGCCAATATCACGTTAAAAAACTAATATGGCTCACCCCAGGCTAGGAGAGGACCTCTCCATTATAAATAAATTTATAGCGTACATTTTTGTGTAAAGTTCTAGATTATTGGCATGATTCATGAATCTTGCAAAGCTGGGATTTTTAATGCAAGATTATAAGATTGGTACGGTTTTTTCTGTGTAGTGTTTTTAAAAGCATTTTAATTTCAATAATTAGGAAGCACTAGGACAATTATTATCAAATTAAATTATATACGATTATGATGATATATATATATATGTAATTATGATGTATAATATGTTAATTACTACTCACAAGGTTAGTCGTGTAGCAGACCATACACGTTCCGTTAATTGTATTGCGAGAAACCTGAAAAAGAGGGTACAGTAAAAATCATGATTCACTGCAAACTCCGATTTTCCACGGCTGCCTCTGTTTCCCAAACTCAGCGGTAAATCAGTTTATTTGAGTAGATACTGTTTATGATAACTGACACGTAAGTGAAATTACCGAAGACTGGTCATGGGTTTAAAAAATAAAGTACCGGAAATCTCCGGTTCAAATAAAGCGGATCTTGGTTCCAATATATTATCATTTAATTTAATTCTAACGGCTATTTTTTCTACAAACATACTGGGGGGGGGGGGGGGGCCAACCATATTAAAGTATATTAAAATGTAGGATTTTTCCCGATTTTGACCCGTGGATATACTTTAATATACTTTAATATACCTACAATATACTTTAATATATCCCTATCTCCTTGGAGGCCTACATCAAAAATTGTTGCCCAAAATAAGCTTGAAATGCAATTCTTAATCGATTCCAAAAAGTTCATGAAAAAATATTGAAAACTGATCGAGTTATTTTAATTTTAACGAAGTCATTTTGGCTAGTATTCCGAACCGAGATATTATGTGCAATTTGCCCAATTTTGTTCATGGAGGTCTTTTTACTTAGTATCCACTATATTCAACAAACACTGAATTATATCTTTCACATAGAGTTAGTCTCATTAAAAAATATTGAAATTTTATCGAATTTGGGCAAAAGCGAATTTGGGCAAAAGTGTATGCCCAAATATGGGCATATTTTTTCCCGATCCATGACTCAAAGATGCTGAAGGCACAAAAGAGTCAAGGACAAGGGTTAGCGATCGAGGTTTTTTTTATATGGTAGCTTTGCGACCGTGCCTGCAAGCGTGCGACCGCCGTACGTGCCTGCGAGCACTGTTATCGCCCACGTGACTACCTGCGCAAAGTTATTTTGCGTGATAATCTTAATTATAATTGTTGGCGCGCGGCGCTGAACCAACCAAGTACATTATTAATTTCATCATGTGCGTATCCCACTAGGCACTAATTGATAGCATATTATTATTATTTTGAGTTAGTATTACTATTTTGCACAGATCCGTGTCAGGTTGCATAAACAATAAACATATGGTTACATAGAAGTATACACGATTTTCAAATTCAATATATAATTATATTAACTGGGCGGCGCTCGGCAGTCCGCATGTCACTTCGCCATATTTGCATGTTTATATAAACAGTAAAGACTGGGCCGTCCCCAGGTTGTACTTGTACGGAATATGAAAAATACGCCATCACGGATCGGGAAATTGAGCGGCCATCCACAAAAGAAAAGCGGCCGCATTTCTTCTTTTAAGCTCATAGCTCAGCCAATTTTTGACCAATCTGGATGGAAATTCATGTACTAGTCCTAAAACAGGCTTATCTTGCGAATCTGAGTGAAAAATATAGTTCATCATGTAAATCTTAACGAAGAATATAAATCTTCTAATTGTAGGTATATTAAAGTATATTAAAATGTTGGATTTTTTCCGATTTTGACCCGGGGATATACTTTAATATACTTTAATATGGTTCCCCCCCCCCCCCCCCCCCCCATACTGTGTTTTCCACGTACTAAATGAAACATAACACTACAGCAGGTGATTGATAACAGCAAATTAACTTATGTTATCAGAAAATAAGAATGTTCTAAAATATTGTCCGTTTCCTTTGGTCAGTCGTTTAGGTTTTATATTGATAACTAGATATATTAGATGAGGATACTGGCGGGGAGGTGAACAATATTTGTTCGACACATGACAATAATTCTGGGCTTTGATTGGTTAATTCTGGAATCTGATTGGTTAATCTCTGTCACGTGTCAAAACCAATATGTTTCACCTCTCCACCAGTAGTCATATCAATATTGTGCGATAAACCGATATTAACAATTATCAGAATTTATTAAGGAATTTGCTGGTTCTACTTTGACCAAAAAGTAATGACAGCTTCGGGGCCAAGAGTATTGCTACCATTTCTGATTTTATTTTCCGACGAGGTAATTTGAGACAATTATCAATTAACACTAGCCCTGCAGCGAAGATTACTATGACCAGAAATGAAACACAGTACGAGAAATACCTGCAGAATGGAAATGATATATTTGAAACCTACTGTTCAACTAAAGACAAACATCCCATCATGTTACCCAGAGCTCCTCAACAAAAGTATGTAGACCTTTACCCTGAAGATCAGCCCGGATGTAGTTTTCAAAATGATAGAAACCAGCAACTCAACTACGAGGCTGAGGTTATTGTATACAGAGCTTTAGAGAAACTGAGTGGGGGAGATTTTATTGTTCTTCATAGTTTTGAATATACTCATTTCCAATATTATCTGGAAGATTTAACCCATGTTAAACGAAAATGTACAGAGTGTAAGAAGAGAGCAACTAACCGAGAAGGCGAGTGCGATTTTGTAGTGATAACACCAAACTGCTTTGTAATTATTGAAGTGAAGAATATGGGTCATATCGGGAATCAATCAGACCCTGTGTGTAACAATAATCAACAGTCGCAAGCATTGGGCAAAACTTTCCAGAAATCACTGGACCAGAGGAACAAGATGGTACAATTTGTTAAAAGATTTTGTAAACGGTTAACAGTTCTCCAGTTTACCGTTTACCCCAACTTTGAAAAAGTATTCAAGAAAGAATTTCCGCTAAGCAGGGATAAACTTTCGTCAATAATTTTCAAAGAAGATTTGGAAGATTTTAGTGATTGGTGGAAAGACAATGTAAGTGATCTAACATTGGATGAGCCTTTACATCCTGAGTTTCGCACCAAGCATGAACATGTTAGGAACTTATTATTAGCTATATGGTGTACAGATAAGACCATTTGTACGAAGTCCAAATGTAGTTTGGGTAAGTGTATAGTTAAAATCGGCGAACAACTGCGTTCAGGAATATTTACCTTCAGGAGCAATAACCCTGACGTCATTCCATCACCCACGATTGTCAAGGACTTTTTAGGAATAGACAACTTGACTAAACAACAGTAAGATTTGATAAATTCAGACGAGAAGTTTTTGTGGATCAATGGACCCGCTGGAGCTGGTAAAACTGTTGTACTACTAGCCAAGATGCTACAACTAGCACTGTCAAATGAGGACAACAAAATTGTACTATTATGTGAAACGTGTAACATTGGTGACGCCATGACATCCCCAGAGCATCTACAAAAGCCGCTAGAAAAAGCAGGTGTTAAGCACGTTCCTATTTATTCTGATACAGAACCTATTGATGAACTCTGGCGTAAAATAAAAAGCTATCTTAATGACAATCAAGTTGTCATAATAATGATTAGGGATTTTAAAACTGAAACTACGCATATCGAATGTCTTGGCAATGCGTGGCTAATAACCTTAATACGTTTATTTCAAGGAAAAGGAATTCACGTGTTTTTCGACGATATTCAAGGAGTGTTTAGGTGGGATATGCCAAAAGACAGCACAAATAAAGACTATGAGATATTAAACGCATTGTTAGAACTGTCATGTTCTTGTCTGCATGTTTGCATCTCATGTGACACGTTACAAAGCCCCAGTTACAAGGCTGATGAGGAGGAAATGTTCGGAAATGACTCTAAACTAGCAGAACTTTTTAACGACAAATTGTCATCTACACAGCTTGTAAGTCTATCAAAGAACTTGAGAAACACCTCTGATTTGTCGAAAACATTGTCAGCAATTCGAGAACATATCATTGAGCCGGGACACATAGTATCAATATATAAAAATGATTTAGCCATTTTGCAAGCCCCCGGGCACTACATACATGGACCAAAATCTATCGTGCATGTTCTGCAAAAGTTTAACGAGGAACTTATATATTCTATTTTTGACAAAGAATTTAATGAATTATGTTTTGATTATATGATAGATGGTAATGATGTGGGATTTCTTTATACTCTCTGTGATCCTGATAGTAACATAGAAAATTTAGTCAAAACATTTGTGGATGGGATATTATTTTCAAAAGATATTACACCAAGGAGGGTGATGTCAACATATTCAAAAGAATGGCCTGCAGTTATAGTTTTGCAACGGTTGTATGATTATAAACTTGATACACTGACTGGAGGGACTGAGAATGTTTCATTTGATTCAGAACTTTTATACCTTGCCATGTCACGAGCACGAGTTAAGTGCACAGTAATAATGTTTTTTGATGAAGGTACGAAATTTGAGGATTATCATTGCATGTGTAGTCTACTTGATAAACTCAAAGATTCTGCTGAAGTAAGATATCACTAATACTTCAAACTTTAAAATACAATTTATTAACTGAACCAGATTACTTTATTAATTAGGGATTTAAATATCTTGTGAATAAACATCGGTAAAATTTGAAAAGTATAAGGCCTAATGTTGTACTACATTATCTTCGCTTGTAGTTGATGATATGATTGAGACGGGACACAGTTGCAGTGACCTTGTCAGTTTAACAAAATATTTATCATATATAATATGTGAAAATTGCATTATAACTGTTTTATCAAGTTATTATAACGTGTAACAACTGCTTTATAATTATCACTTTACAACATCTAAAATTAAATATCCGTCTAAATCCGGTTTCAGCCCTGGTCCGGTTTAAAAGCTGCCGGAAATCAACCGGAAATTTCAAACCGTCCAGAGATAATACACGAGCACTGCAATACCATGATCTAATAAGAATAGTTTTGCTGTTTTTCATCTCCCATTATGAAGGGGGGGGGGGGGGGTGGGGGGTCCAAGAACAATAAATATTTTTGTTAGAGTGCATTCATTTAAAGTTTTCATTTACAATAAAATAACATGAAACGGAAACGGAAACTACTTCTCTTTCGATAAGAACAAAAGCATTAAAAAATTTGTGCCGAGCTCTACAACATGTCCCAAAATGTCAAAATTGACCTCCCCCCTCTCTCTGTGGCCTTAATTTTTTAATGGACACTTAAATGTTGGTCCTATAACATGTATAATTATATTGTTGTTATATTCCTTTGGTTGAGCCCCGTTCGTTTTGAATTATTAGCAAGATATTATGCCTTGTGTTATGACCGTTATTATTGGATTACATGGAAGGTTCTGTGAAACGTTTCGGCTTAGTTTCTTGCACGCACACACATGACGCACACACTTGACTAACGAGCATACACGTCACACACACACAAATTCAAATTTCAAGTACCATGATATAAGAAGAGTAGTTCTCTTGTTGTTCTGGAATGTGAATTATGTAATACCGGCCGGAGATGAGCCGTGTAACAATTAGTGAGTGTACCTTTTCTGTCATTTCTCTTTGTGCTCTCTGTGTTTCGTGAGGTTTATTTCTTCGTGTTATTTGATTATCTTACGTTGCAAAGTTAGTGATAACTTAGTCGTAGTTAATCAGATGCTGTTGAAGTTGTCTTCATTTGTATGTGTCTTTCTATGTCTCTTAGCACCTTTAATTCTACATAAAAAGATTTACTCTCAATTCAGTTTCTAGAGTTAAGATCCGTTTAACCGAAAAAGAGATTGATATCCGGCACTTTCCGGTCCGGTTGCCCAAACCCCAGACCAGTCGGTTCCACATAAATCGAGATAAATTGGTAATAGTACTTAAACAAATCACTATAACATCCGTACTAAACTAATTAAATTATTACATTATGAAAGTGGGGGGGGGGGGGGGGGGTCCGAGGACAAAAATAATTTTTCCCAGTTAACAGGCCATATCTTACATGGCGCATGCACATTGCACGCTACCCCTAGCCAACCAGAGCGCTTGTTTGCCGTAAAATCTCGTTAGCTTGAAGTCGCGACTCACGAACGTACACACCACACGCACATTCCAGTACCATGATCTAAGAAGAGTAGTTCTGTTGTTCTGGAATGTGAATTATGTAATACCGGAATATGAGCCGTGTTATAATAAGTGAGTGTAACTTTTCTGTCATTTCTCTTTGTGCTCTCTGTGTTTCGTGAGGTATATTTCTTCGTGTTACTTGATTATCTTACGTTGTTAAGTTAGTGATAACTTTGTTGTAGTTATTAAGATCTAAGTTAATTAAGGTATTTCAACATTTGTCTTCATTTGTACGTGTCTTTATCACTCTGCATGTTACATTCCACTTTCTGTACCTGTAATTAAGGGGGGCTGGTTTTCACCTCAATCAAGCAATAAGTAATGACCACTGCTTTTCTACTAAGAAAGTGACAGAATTAGCAAGTGGCAAAATCCGGGAGTCCTCTCACTACCAGGTTGTATCTTTATAAAAATAGTTTCGCTAAAACCCTAAGTACTGATACTTGATGGGCGATAGCTTCTAGCGTTAGGGCCCCGGTATTATTTTACATTTGATTAGCTGACAAGGTTAATTAAGACTAAAGTACTTAACATTTGCACTACAGTGAAGATTGCTATGACCAAGAAGGAAACACAGTACGAGAAATACCTGCGGAATGGGAGTGAGATATTTGAAACCTACTGTTCAACTGGAGACAAACATCCCATCATGTTACCCAGAGCTCCTCAGCAAAAGTATGTAGACCTTTACCCTGAAGATCAGCCCGGATGTAGTTTTGAAAACGACAGAAACCAGCAACTCAACTATGAGGCTGAGGTTATTGTATACAGAGCTTTAGAAAAACTGATTGGAGGAGATTTTATTGTTCTTCATGGTTTTGAATATACTCATTTCCAATATTATCTGGGAGATTTAACCCATGATAAACGAAACTGTAAAACGTGCAAAAAGACAGCAACTAACAGAGAAGGCGAGTGCGATTTTGTAGTGATAACACCAAACTGCTTTGTAATTATTGAAGTGAAGAATATGGGTCATATCGGAAATCAATCAGACCCTGGGTGTAACAAAGATCAACAATCGCAAGCATTGGCCAAAACGTTCCAGAAATCACTGGACCAGAGGAACAAGATGGTACAATTTGTTAAAAGATTTTGTAAACGGTTAACAGTTCTCCAATTTACCGTTTACCCCAACTTTGAAAAAGCATTCAAGAAAGAATTTCTGATAAGCAGGGATAAACTTTCGTCAATAATTTTCAAAGAAGATTTGGCAGATTTTAGTGATTGGTGGAACAACAATGTAAGTGATCTAATCTTGGATGAGCCTTTGCATCCTGAGTTTCGCACCAAACATGAAGATGTCAGGAACTTATTATTAGCTATATGGTGTACAGATACGACCATTTGTGATAAGTCCAAGTGTAGTTTGGGAAAGTGTATAGTGAACATAAACGAACAACTGCGTTCAGGAAAATTCACCTTCAGAATCATTAACCCTCAAGTTATTCCATCACCCAAGATCATCAAGGACTTTTTAGGAATCGACAACTTGACTAAACAACAGTACGATTTGATTAATTCAAATGAGAAGTTCTTGTGGATCAATGGACCCGCTGGAGCCGGTAAAACTGTTGTACTACTAGCTAAGATACTACAACTAGCATTGTCAAGTGAAGACAACAAAATTGTGTTATTCTGTGAAACGTATGTTATTGATGGAAACATGACATCCCCAGAGCATTTACATAAGCCGCTTGAGAAAGCAGGTGTTAAGCACGTTTCTATTTGTCGTACAGAAATGGTTGGTATTTCTGCTGATGAGATCTGGCGTAAAATAAAAGGCTATCAAGTTGTCATAATAATGCTTCAGAGTTTAAATGGTACAACTGAGGATATCGAACATATCAATAACATATCGCTAATATACTTAATACGTTTATTTCAAGGAAAAGGAATTCACGTGTTTTTCGACGATATTCAAGGAGTGTTCAGGTGGGATGAAGTAAAAAAAGACATCAATAAAAACTATGATATATTTAAAGTATTATTAGAACTGTCATGTTCTTGTCACGTTTGGATCTCATGTGACACGTTACAAAGTCCTCTTTATATTGCTGATGAGGAGGAAAGGTTAAGACATGACTCTAGACTAGCCAAACTTTTTAACGACGAATTGTCATCTACACAGCTTGTAAGTCTATCAAAGAACTTAAGAAACACCTCTGATTTGTCGAGAGCATTGTCAGTCATTCGAGAACATATTATTGAATCGGAAAACCTTGTATCAACATTTACAAACGATTTCGACATTTTACAAACCCCCGGGCACTACATACACGGACCAAAAACTGTCGTGCATGTTCTGCAAAAGTATAACGAGGAACTTATATATTCTATTTTTGACAAGGAATTTAAAGAATTATGTTTTGATGGTATGATAGATGGTAATGATGTGGGTATTCTTTACAATCTTTGGGATAATAACACAGATAATTTAAGTAAAACCATTGTGGATGGGATATTATCTTCAAAAAATATTACACCAAGGAAGGTGACGTCAACATATTCAAAAGAATGGCCTGCAGTTGTAGCACTGCAACAGTTATTTGATTATAAAGCTGAGATACTGACTGGAGTGTCTGTTCAAAATGTTTCATTTGATTCAGAACTTTTATACCTTGCCATATCACGAGCACGAGTTAAGTGCACAGTAATAATGTTTCCTGTAAAAGGTGCAATACTTGAGGATTATCATCGCATGTGTAGTCTACTTGATAAACTTAAAGATTCTGTTGAAGTAAGATATCATTAACACTTCAAACTTTAAAATACAATTAATTAACTGAACCAGATTACTTTATTATTTAAGGATTTAAATATCTTGTAAATAAACATCGGTATAATTTGAAAAGTATAAAGCCTGATGTTGTACTACTGTATCTTCGCTTGTAGTTGATGATATAATTGAGCCGGGACACAGTTGCAGTGACCTTGTCAATTTAACAGAATATTTATCATATATATGTAAAAATTGCATTATAACTGTTTTAGTAAGTTATTATGTGTACCAACTGCTTTATAAACACCTCCGGGATAGAATAAGATTCTGAAAATCCCGGCTCCAGCTAAATAGATTCTGATAATCCAGGCTCCCAGCTGTTAGTTTTTTCCCGCTGAATAAATAACCCCGGCACAGCTTTTATAATCCCGCCCCGCTAATTTGGCTCAACAAGATTTGTTTTGTTTTGATATTCCATGAGAATTTCAACCGCGCACTGTCACGTGTTTTTATGACGTGTATCACGTGACTAACTACTACGACGCGCATTGGTAAAAAATGTCACGTGACCTATGGCTTAACGTAAGAACTATAAATACACTCGATCTACGTATCGGTCTAATTGCAAGCGCTGGCAAAACTCCAGCACACTGCTTACATTACTTAAACTCTTACATTAATTGGACCAGTTCCATAACTTGTCTCGACGGTTACATTTGATTTTGTCTGGTTCGGTTAATTTTGTCGTGTTTGATATAAGCCATGTATTATAGTCGTCTACTTTGATGAACTTCATGACACGATATCATTATTAGCTTTTATCGCTTGCCAGGCTTAACTCGACGCCCCTTATCGATATTCATATTCATTCAACGTTCTGACTGAGGAATAATGTTAAGATATAACGCCAATTTCAAAAGTCATAGTACCTTAGTTGTATTTATTTGGTAGTCCCCAATTCCATTTCATATTTTCCATAATGATCTCATATAGCTAGAATTAAGAGTAAAATGTCAAATTTGTTGGTCCTAGCACTAACCCGGAGGGGTTTATAACACATAACACCGGCACGCTTAAGTTATATTAAAATAACCCCTCGTGCTAAAGCACGTCGGGGTTATTTTCATAATGATCCCTCGTGCTTCGCACTCGAAATTATTATAAATTTTTCCCGCACGTCGCGGGAAAAATTGAAATATAATCCCTGCGCATGCCGGGGTTATGTGTGTTATAATTATCACATTACAACATCTTAAATTAAATATCCGTCTAAATCCGGTTTCAGCCCTGGTCCGGTTTAAAAGCTGCAGGAAATCAACCGGAAATTTCAAACCGTCCAGAGATAATACACGCACATTCCAGTACCATGATTTAAGAAGAGTAGTTCTGTTGTTCTGGAATGTGAATTATTTAATAGCTGGAGCTAATCCGTGTTAGAATTATTGAGTGTAACTTTTTTGTAATTTCTCTTTGTGCTCTCTGTGTTTCGTGAGGTCTATCTCTTCGTGTTATTTCAATATCTTGCGTTGTAAAGTCAGTAAAAACTTAATTGTAATTAAGTTAAAGTTGTCTTAATTTGTATGTGTCCTTCTTTGTCTCTTAGTACCTTTAAGTGGGCATACACCAAAACAGTGGTTTGTGCCGTCCAGACCAAATGACCTCATAGGCAGTTCAGTGACCTACTAGCGCACCGTTTCCACACAAAAAAATTATTTTGAGAATACCTATTTTTGTAATCGAGCATTTTCTGGTTGAGAGTGCAATTTTCGGACAAAATTATTTTGTGGTTGAGACGCTATAAGTTAATCATTTCTTGCGGTATCGGGTTGAAATTTTGCTCGTCGTTTATTGACATCTATTTCAAGGTGTTTTTTTTTTTTTTTTATTGTAGTTGACGAAATGAGAGTCTCCACTCAGTGTGTTAAAACATAATTCTTTGTCGACGTTTCGGCTACATGCCTTTGTCATAAACAGGACGTACTGAAAACTTACATAGCTGCAAAGATACAATGTTAAAATAATCTATTAATACTACGAAATATAACAACAAAAAAATAACATCTTGAAACACAACAACAATCACAAATTTATCCAAAAGAAACATAAAATATAATGGCTAAAAGAATCCACACCGCAACAAACCGTGAACAATTCCTCATAGTACTACAAACATTTTACCAAGATAGCTCCTTCATAAAACTGATTAATCAAAAATAATCTAGGTTTATAAGTTCAATATTACATTAACTTCCAAGTATATTTTATCCAATCACCTTCATTTACGGACTCAGACAATTGAGTATTTATTTCTGGGTTTTCACGTTTTATTAGAACCGACTGCCACAATTGACGGTCCACATAGTCTTTACATCTTTTTCGAACTATAAACCGAAACGGTATGTTTGGCATTGAAATGTCTGCATGCTCCTCTAGAGCTCTAGGTAGTGCTTCCCCATGGCCGTAGATTTGTTGCCATCCCTTACTGATTTGTAGTGTTCCCAGGCTCTACTTCTTTTAAACCTACCAGTTTCCCCAATGTAGGACTTATTACATATTTGGCATATTAATTGGTAGCAAATGTTTTTGATCATGCAGGATTTATCGCACTGGTAGCATTTGCTGTCACTTTGTTTATTGCATTTTGTTTGCTGTAGGCTAGATCTTGTTAAAGCTTCCATGAGACGTTTTCCTGATGTGAATGTTACCCTGGTGGAATCCAAGAGGTTTTGATTTCTTAGGGTATAGTAGACTTTTCGACACGTCTGTTCATTTATATAAGGTAGATCTAGCCTACAGCAAACAAAATGCAATAAACAAAGTGACAGCAAATGCTTCCAGTGCGATAAATCCTGCATGATCAAAAACATTTGCTACCAATTAATATGCCAAATATGTAATAAGTCCTACATTGGGGAAACCTGTAGGTTTAAAAGAAGTAGAGCCTGGGAACACTACAAATCAGTAAGGGATGGCAACAAATCTACGGCCATGGGGAAGCACTACCTAGAGGAGCATGCAGACATTTCAATGCCAAACATACCGTTTTGGTTTATAGTTCGAAAAAGATGTAAAGACTATGTCTAAAAAGAGTAAGGAACATGCCAAGCCTTCTCCCTAAATCCATCAAAGAACTTTTCCCTCACGATATTCCCACCTATAATTCCACATACGAACATAACCTTTCTTGGTTCACAACTTACAACGGCCCAACATTTAGAAATACTCTTTTCTTCAAAGGACCCATGCTCTCTATTACAAAACAAAGTAAGGATGTAACTATTCCAAGTTCTACCTTTTCAATTGAAATCTTTAAAAATTCAGCTAAGCGCGAACTCCTCAAGCTGCAAAGCTCAGGAGACGATGAAAATTGGCCAAATTTCTTACTTTATAGTATACCTGGGCTAAGAAAGTCTCAAAGAGAAGGGCGCTCGCAGATAGACTACAACACCGAGTTAGTAAGCGACAACGCGTAAAGAAAGATCACTCGCGACAAATGACCATGATCTTTTATCAACAACATATCATTTTAATTTCACTGCCATTATGCAATGCCGAATTTACATCTGCCGCGCAAAACTTTTTATCTATTATTATTAAATAGTAATTAGCATGTTTACAAATTGCGACTTCAACCAGTTTTGCAGACCGTTAGTTATATAGTACTTTTAGTAGGGCATTTATTTTAATATATTTTATTTTACATTATTATATTTTAGTGTGACTTCTATAATTTCATTTATGTAATAACCATTGATTAATAAATTGCGGCACACGCCAACCTCCACCGTGGGGTTTCAAAACAAAAATGTGGACCGTCAATTGTGGCAGTCGGTTCTAATAAAACGTGAAAACCCAGAAATAAATACTCAATTGTCTGAGTCCGTAAATGAAGGTGATTGGATAAAATATACTTGGAAGTTAATGTAATATTGAACTTATAAACCTAGATTATTTTTGATTAATCAGTTTTATGAAGGAGCTATCTTGGTAAAATGTTTGTAGTACTATGAGGAATTGTTCACGGTTTGTTGCGGTGTGGATTCTTTTAGCCATTATATTTTATGTTTCTTTTGGATAAATTTGTGATTGTTGTTGTGTTTCAAGATGTTATTTTTTTGTTGTTATATTTCGTAGTATTAATAGATTATTTTAACATTGTATCTTTGCAGCTATGTAAGTTTTCAGTACGTCCTGTTTATGACAAAGGCATGTAGCCGAAACGTCGACAAAGAATTATGTTTTAACACACTGAGTGGAGACTCTCATTTCGTCAACTACAATTAAAAATAAATGATTGACCCACTCATAAGAGCAAAACAAGATTACCAGTATTTCAAGGTGTGTGTAAAATCTTGATATCGTATCTAAAAAGGCTGGTGTGTTATGAATTTTTAAAGTCAAAAAGCTAAAATTGTCCTTTTCAGGCTTATTTTAACAAAAAGACAGTCAGGGAAAATCGGATTGATTTGATGCTTGACATCAAATTGTTCTCTGAATTCTGGCGCAGTTTTTGATGCCCTCAAAAATGTTTTTACTCATTCAGCTTCAGATCAGAAAATGTGATTTTTTATCTGCATAGCCAAAAAATCACATTTCCTCCCATAACTTCAAAGGGAAGCATTTTAGGGTGTTTTGTTGTTCATAACTCATATATAAATGTGCTAGTTGCGGTTATTTTGCACCCTTCAAAAAGTCACTAGCACATTCCTATCAAAATTTTGGCTTTTAGGTCCAATAGATCTGAAGCTGAATGAGTAAAAACATTTTTGAGGGCATCAAAAACTGCGCCAGAATTCAGAGAACAATTTGATGTCGAGCATCAAATCAATCCGATCTTCCCTGACTGTCTTTTTGTTAAAATAAGCTTGAAAAGGACAATTTTAGCTTTTTGACTTTACAAATTCATAACACACCAGCCTTTTTAGATACGATATCAAGATTTTACACACACCTTGAAATAGATGTCAATAAACGGCGAGCAAAGTTTCAACCCAATACCGCAAGAAATGATTAATTTATAGCGTCTCAACCACAAAATAATTTTGTCCGAAAATTGCACTCTTAACCAGGAAATGCTCGATTACAAAAATAGGTATTCTCAAAATAATATTTTTGGTGTGGAAACGGTGCGCTAGAAGGTCACTGAACTGCATATGAGGTCATTTGGTCTGGACAGATTTGGTGTATGCCCCCTTAATTCTACATAAAATAATTAACTC